TCTAAAAACCAATGCTACAACCCATCCTATAGGCCTCCCTGTACGGTGTGGCCGTTTTACAACAGGGAAGCTACCCCACACAGTCTGGTACTGCTCTGTACTGCAGCCCTTGAAAGATGGGGTCCGGTGAAAGCAGCGAGCTTTGCAAAGCTTTAAAGGCCAAGCAGACTGTATTTTCCAAGCACCTAAATATTCTGTCAGGGCCTACTGATCTCCAAATCCCAAAAAGTCTTCTACAACAACTTATTCTGAAACACTGTTCACACGCTATTCTGAACATATTCGCAGGCAAAGAAGAAAATTCCTGTATAAAAGACCTAACACTGATGTTTAAGAAAGCATTATTTTTTAATTCCATGAAACTACATACGTGTGATAAAGACAGGCAACTGTCTAAGCTCGACGCATGCAAGATGTTACCGAACCCAATAAAAGGCATATTCTGTTTGTGCAGTTTAACCTCACTGAGATTTATTTAATTAATTACCTCTTAAATTAAAATATCTACTGTAAACCAAGCCTGTTGCCAGTTATTTCGCTTCTTGAAACAGGATCATCTTATACAATAAAGCTGAGTAAATAATTTTCTCATTAAATATCTGTAGTTATGAAAAACACCCAACTCTGACCATTAACTTCACAACAAATATCAAGAGCCTGTTGGATTTAGGAATTCTACTTTCTTGGGGGCTGGTTTGGGGTTTTTTTTTTGTTTTGTTACACAAAGCCTAAAAAGGCAATTCTCAGGAAAATAAGAAGGTGTATTTCCCAAACCAGATTGTATAATTTGGCAGTTGCACCTTTCCTTTCCTTAGTGGAAAAAGCAATACTCTTACCATATGAAGTCACTTTGAAGGCATCCCGAATAAAGGACTGAAGACAGTGAGGACACTAATTTATCCTGAAGAAAGGAAAGATTACTTTATAAAAGAATGTAGACTGTAAAAATCATCCAAGAGGCAGCAGTTAAACCTTTCTTGGAAAAGTTACAGCCGAGGAGAGAGCGGACACCAACCACCAACTAAATATTGCGTAACAGGTGACAGAGGCAAGCACCACCAAGCGGAAAACTATCACAACCCATTCAAACGCAGATTTTTTCCAAACCAAGGTATTTAAAGGAAGAAGAGAGTTGCATAACACTCGTTTTTTCAAACCCTCCTTCATAAGATTCCTTATAAAGTGCAGTTAATGAGAAGACTACCAAGGGGTGTAACAGTTACAGCGCTACAGAGCGTCAGGTGACAGGCAGGGAGGGGAGGACACGCGGAGAGGTGATGCTTGAGGATGCTCCAAGTAGTTGTGGAGTGCTACCAATTCATACTTCTCACAAGCTGGTTATGGAGAAGACAGAGAGAAGAGCTTATCACAAAGTTCTCCAAGAAGTGTCACCACTGGCAATAAAAGGCACCTAGCAAGAAGCAAGAAAGCACCATGGTGTTGGGCAGCTATCCATGATATCCGCACACCAGTGGACTGATCCAGCTGCTCTCTGAAGTTCCGCAGAACTCCTGTGAGGAAGCAGAAATCTGGACTACACGGCTACTTTGTACTTCTGGAGAAAGAAGAAAAGGAAAACCAAAATATTTCAAGCATTCTGCAAAGGACCTTCAAACCAGAAGGGCCATTTGCTGTGAAACACAGAAAACAGCCAAAACTAAACCACAAACTCCTGTTTCATAAACAATTGCAGGAAATATTAAAATCCTTCTGTAACATACTTATCTTAAAACTAGAAGAGTAACATTTTAGAACCCATAATAATCCTGCTTAGATGTTCTCTGAAACACCACTGCACTTCCTCAGCAATACGTAAGGGTAACGATGAAAAATATTTTGTTCAAAAGGTTCTGCTAAGCCTAAATCCAACATCCGATTCAACAACGTGTATTTACAGCCTTTCTATCACCTAGTGCTTGTGGAGAAGGAATTTTTTTGGTGGGCACAGGGGAAGTTTTGGGTAACACGACATTCATGTAGACTTGCATGTATTAGCAGACTACACTAATCCCACTCCTCCAGCGTGACGGAAGAAGATTTTGCCGTGCAGGAACACACAGCCTAAAAAATCACACAGAATGAGGTGTCACGGGACGAGAAATTACTCTGAGCTGACAGTGGCACTCAAGGCTACACAAACCAGCAGTGAACGGCTCCCCACTGTTAAAGAAACGGGGGTAGAGGGACGCGAGAGAGCTCTGTCTGTGCTCGGTTTTTGCTCCACGCTGAGCAGCCAGCCGGTCCCGTTTCAATGGCAAGTGCTTCCACTGCAACTCCAGGTATTGATTTATAGCATGAGAGCCATAAATCTCAAATTCATTTCACTGGGGAGCCAAAAGGAGAAGAAATGAAAATGACTTCTCCCTTACTCGACTGTAATGCAGCTGCAGTAAAAACCGAAGCATCCTCGTCGAGGCTCGGTCACGGCGGCGCTGGCGTAACCGCGCCGAGCGCGCCTGCTGGCACCCACACAGCTTAGGTCGACAGAAGAAGCTTTTCTGCTGACAGAGCAGTCCCATCACTTCAAAACAAACTTTGTTCTTGCCTTTCAGAAGAGGAATTTTCTTTCAATACGCTGCTTCCCTGCTCTGCCTGAACGGCCACAGCTGGGCCCGCTCCACCAACTTATACGAAGAGATTCACGTCATTTCCAACGAGGAATTGCGTTTCTCAGATCAAAACACTTTTCTAATTTTAGCTTTCTACAGTTCTTTTTAAACTTTAAACCTTTACATTCACTAAGTGGGATAAATACCAATTACTGTGTCTTGGATATCAACCAACATAGCTGATTCTGGCAATCCAGATGAGGCTCAAACTTAAGTTAAATTAAATTAACTTCAATATCCTTAACGAAAAAGAATTCTCAACAAATCTGTGAGCTATTATACAGATTTCAGCAGAAGAAAATGGTTAAGTAACAAAAGAAACTGATGAGCACAAGAGATAGGCCACTTTGATACCAAATTGGTTTCCTTCCCAATCTTTCTACACAACTTACACACCCTACTTCAAAAGATTAAAAGTTGAGCTTTACCTGCTATTACTAAAGCACTTTTCCCTCCTTTTCTATAAAGGGAAAGGTGAAAAACCAAGCACTAAAATACCAGGGAAAGCCCCACCTTTGTATAAATTATTTTAAACCCACAAATGACGATTGAAGATCACTGAACACTGACTGCCTTTCCTACCACGTGCTGCGAGAAGATGAAGAGCAGAAACATGCCGAATGCATTTTCGGTTTTTGCTGCGCTGACTTGAGTTACCCGAGATGGGGACAGAGGTTGGTTGTGCTCTGGGAACCTTTCCTAAACACCACTATTAACAGATGAGCAGAAGAATCTGCTGGAAATACTTTAAAAAAAAAAAAAAAAAGGGAAATTGTGATCCCATGTCCTGAAGTTGAGCTCTAAACGGCAGATGATCGAGAGGGTTCCTGCCACAACTCCTGCCAGCTCCTGCAGCACTCTGGGATGAATCCTGTCAGGCCCCACGGACTTGTGAACGTTCCGCTGATGGAGCTGGTCCTTCACAATTTCAGTGTCCCCAGATGGAAAGTCACCGTGTTCCCACACTTGTGGTCCTTCCACTCATGGGACCGGGCAGCCCAAGGTCTATCCCTTAAAGACTGAGGCAAAAATCGCACTGAACGCCTCTGCTTCGTCTTCACATCTGTTACTCAGATGACCAACCTCAACAAGTATGGGCCCAATATTTTCTGTAGACCTCCTCTTGCTATTAGGACACTTAAAAAAGCCCTTCTGGTTATCTGAAACAACACTGGCCAGTTTCAACTCTTAACTGAGCTTTGGCCTTTTGGGTCTTCTCCCTGCACATACGAACCACGGCTCTGTAATCTTCCATTTCACTTCAAACCAAAAGCTTTCCAGCTGACAACTCTGACGGCAAATGTTACAACCATATTTCAAACAATGATTGCAAAGAGGAAAAAAAAAGAAAAAAAAAAATCAGGAAGAGTTTGGTCTTGAATTTTGAAGTATATTATAAATTTTTTGACTAGCACTGGGAAAAAATACAGCGCAAACAGGAAGCTCAGTTACAACTAAAATTCTTCCAATATACCTTTTTTTCCGCCCTTAGAAATAATATACTGTGCTTTAGGGAAGCATATTATTTAAATTTGTTACATTTGAAGAAAAGAATGTACTTTAAGAACCCTAACTAGGAATCACTGGTCAACCACAATAAGCCATGACATGGAGCTGATGCGTGTCCCTTTCAGTAACAACGACACCAGGGCGAAGCGTTCAAAACAGTATTTATACCAACAGAAATGATTTCTTTAAGGTTTAATTTTGAAGTTCAAGATTATTGTCTGTCCTGGAAACAAAGAAAACAATTCTGCACAAGCCTGAATTCTGGAGACTCAAAAGCCCACGCTCAGAACACGGTAACATGAAGAGTGGTGGTTTAGCAGCTTTAGGAAAAATGTGTCATTTCAAATGCCGTGACTGGCTGCTGCTAAGCACGTAATTTTTGCTGCAGTGATTTAAAAAGACGGCTCTCGTCAACTATTACTTCAGCTCCCTTGGGGAGGTTAACACATCCACAGAGGAACTTGCAGAGGGGAACGGGCGTCTCCATTTCGGCGCGTCAACACAGCAATTCAGCATTTTACCACTGATCTTTGCGGTAGACGCCGTTACGCTTGCAGGGACTGCTGCTGAAGGAGCTCAGGTACAGGCACACTCAGGAATTCACCAACGCCGCTGTAAGCGCCCTGGCTTCTTCAGTCGCCCAAGTACCAGTCACCTGAATTTACCACTCAGTAACTGCACGGAAAATTTCAGTGCTGAGATATTAAAAGACAAAGAAATAGCATTTTTGCCGAATCATTTTTAAGATGGCTGGTAAATACTCACTGAAGTTCAATCCACGAGATTATGTAATCTCCATTCGTAACATTAAAGACTAAGAAACTTGTTCTTTCTTTTTGCTATTTTTAATTAATAACCACACCAACTGAAGAACCACCTTACCTGATAGAGTTTCGTCTCCTGTTTTCAATTTTCATTAAAATTTGGACATCCGACTGAGGAGACGCTGTATAGATTTTTAATCTGAAAAAAAAAAGAAGAATATGCAAGAGATGAAGAAACAATGATGTACAACGACATTTCTTTCTGTTGTCCGCGAGAGATGGCTATCTTTTGCGTGCCAACTGCCAGAAGTATGTATTTATTCATAAAGACAATAATTTGCCACATAGTCAAGTATTTCCTATAAATGAGGGCTATAATTACTAGTATGTTTTTCTAATTACTCTAAAGAAAAGGTTCATTGTCACCCCCCCACTGAGGTTAATTATGGTTACATTTTTTAGAATTACAGTTGCTTTATTTGATCTTCATGCCACGAGCCAATTTCTTCATCTTTTCCTGGTTCAAATTTGGTGGCTATTCTCCAGGGTTAGCCGGTTGGTGAGCGGTAGGATGGTTTTCATCAGAGGAACGAAAAGACGTACTGCTGACCGGGAGCTCAGCTCTGCTGGCTGAAAGTGCAGCCAGTTTAAGCCATTTATTCAGAGCTCTTCCCTTCTTTTATCAGCACATTACATGAACGGGGCAGAGCAGTTCTTCGATACGCACCTTTGACAAACTACAGGATCTGACTCCACCGGATCAATGTATGGCTTAAGGATGTCAGCGAGAGTTTTGTCGTCAGGCACCCTTTCACCAAAGATAAAAATCAAATAGGTTAAGACGTGGTTCATCACGTACACAAAAAAAAATCTGTTGTCTGAGTCACCTGGAGGAAGACCCGTATTTGCACGCTACCGTGGCACAACTGAGCAGCTCACGGGAGGATCACAACTGGGTATCCATACAGCTCACATAATTGACAGCTTTATCTCCATTTCAGCACTGGGACTCCGCTGGCATGTGCAGGGAGTAAACAGATGCGTATCTCTAGTTTCTAACCCTGCAGCAGAAACATGCTGTTCCTACAGCCCTGGAAGCAGGCAAGGGCATACCTCCCATCCTCCGTCAGGCTAGGAAAAAAAAAAAAAGGAGGACGAGTTGTCAACAAAAGCTTATTTTTTGGCCCTTGCAAAACGCGCTGGTGGGCTTTCCTACAAAGCCAACAAGGCGGCCGTTTCGTCAGCTCCAGCGAGCAGGCGGGGAGGGATGGCAAACCTTGCTGAGCACATCTCTGCTCCGTGAGAACACGGCGGGTTACGCGTACGGGACACTACCATCACGAATACACAAGCTGCTGTGCTTAATGCAGAGGAAAGGACGAGCAATCCAACATTTTGCCCAGCCTGAAAAGCCTGCTAGCAGCCCTAGTAGGAAGGGACTAGGCTACTTTAAGTATTTTTTTTCCGATTTAAATGTCCTTTTAATTAAGACTGAAAGTAATATTCGAGTTTGCCTTGTATAATAGAAACAGATAAGAACGGATCAAATTATTGTGCACTTCAGCAGACTAATTTATAAGTAACTTTACAAAAATCTGTTTTTCAAGCTCTGTACCCTTTTAAAGTGTATTCAGCATGAGAGTGAGGAAATACGAGCTTCAAATGCCAGTAGAACTTCTTCTCCCTGAAAAGAAAAAGAAATGCATATTCTTAATGTCAGCTGGTAACTACTGCTTGGCTTTTTTTGATAAAGCTCGGTAGCCTACGGCACGGGTGCAGAAGAAAATACACAGTCAAGACTTTGAATGGCATTTTCCAAGAGTAAAAGGGGCATGCAGAGATGCACTTTC